ATATTTAAACGAAGATGAATGCTATCATGTGATATTTTATCCGCTCGTCGGATCCGTAAAATTAAACAAGAGTGGTCAAAGATAGATAGCTTCTTGATATCTTCCATTCTCATTGGCCATGTCTCAGAACCATATAGTAGGATCGAGCGAATCACAGCTATATAGATGGACTTTCGTTTTAATGTTAATTTCACGACGGCTCCATAAAGTTTCGTCAATCGGAAGAACGTATTTCAAGGTGTCCTGATCAGGGCTGTAATATCGTCTTTTGCCTAGCCATTTGGTATAAGAGTAGACCCATTTAAAATCGGGCACTTCCTCAACCGGTAATGAATTTATAAAAAGAGGTATTTTATCAGTTTCTTGCACATAGGACGAAAAGACTTTTATTTTGTTTACATTGATGCTCAGTCCGATTCTTGCTGCAGTTTCTGACATGTTATTTAGTATTATTTGCATTTCGTTATAACTGTCAGCAAAAAGGACCACATCATCAGCACATTCAAAATATGTTATACGATGCTCTGAACTGATTTGGGAGTATCCCTTTGAGTGCCGACAAGCGGTGTCCATTACCCAGTCTATTGCATAATTAAATATGCCGTACAAAAAAATAAGGTCGACAAAACTCCTGGAGAAGATGCTGAACTCTTTTAATGTTGCCCATGTCCTTCATAACACACCTTCAACAAATGTACTCTCTGGTGTGGGAAAAAGAAATATTTGATTAGAGCAAAACAATAATGCTCCCAATTCCTAAGAAAGGTGACAGGACATGCTGTAACATTTATCAAGCCTTCTAGATATCCCAGGGAAAATTTTTGTTTTCCTCCTGCTGAATAAATTTATGGCAGTACGAGATACGCCTTAACCAAGCTGGATTCAGACCGGGATGTGCGTGTGCTAACCAAATATAAGAAAGGTTCTGGAACACCCTTTTAAGTATCAGCAGCCCACATATGAGAATATAATGGAAATTCCAGATAACCGTACGTCATCTGTGTATATGAGGAACTGATAGACCCTTTTGATAAAACATACCACGTCCATTAACAGAACTATCATAGAATGCTGTCTTCGATGGTTAAGGCACGTTCTTCGCCCACCACAATTGACCTAGACGTATTTCGTTGCCTTGTGCCGGTTGGTGTCAAAAGCGTGCTAGACCTTGACTGACACGGTCAATATTTTGAATATAGGTGGACCAGCGATATATGGACTTAGACGATCGAAAAAGAATAGCTTGGAGGAGAATAGAATATCTTACTGTTGCAGCCATCGGAACCAGCTTAACCAGTAATGGTGAAAACTGTTAGAAGAAGAATTAATTATTTCAATAATTAAAAATTTCAAAAAATAATATATCTGAGATTATCGCATGGAGGTTTGGCTTTCGATTCTAGCTTCGTTAGGAGTAAATTTGAATTTGAAATTCCAACCATACTAACAACCAGGCATGGTCTGAAATGGTGAGCTATCCACTTAATTAATTACTTATCAACAATAATTCACCATAATATATATTTTCACATATAGAAAGGAAGAACGTTGCGAGTGTATGTATTATTATGGTTTAAATCACATAGTTTTAGAATAGTTTAGAGGATTTTTTTTCGTATCATCGAATAAGCTTCGATGATTTCAAAAAAAAAGTGGAAAAAAATTAAGTTAATGAAAGATTTGCACCTAATAGGTAATAGGTATATAATATGATAATGAGTTAATCGAAATAAAGGTTTTCGTCGAAATGAAATGGATGTTTTTATGCTTTTCTTTTTCTTAATCTAGCAATTCTCCAGTTTTTCATTTTCCAGTTTTTCTTGTTATTACATGATGTTAAAGCGAATTGCCCTTAAAATCAATTGGTTTAAAAATAAGGTTTGGGAAATGTTCCTGTATGCTTTTGTGAATTTCTTTAGTTGGAATATGTTCGATATTATTTATGGAAATGCACAAGAGGTTTGTAATCCCTCTTCGATTAAATTGTATATACATATATCAAAAGTTGTTCATGGATAAATTATCTTTGTAAAATATTTATTTCTTATTGCTGATGATGCAAAATTAAGTATAAATTCAGTTGCGATTCTCAAAATAAATATATGAGATATTGGTCGTTAGTTTGCATTTTTTTAAAATTCGTTGATCAAAGATTTCAAAATTTTTTCCGAAAATAGTTAAATAATATTGATGGAATATTATCAGTTTGATAAAGCATCCTTATTATCATCCTTATGAAGAGAGTATTTAAAATTGCCCAGGTATTCTCTGCGTGCTCCATCGCGACAGTATTGTGCCGAATCTGGTCGAAATTTCGTACCATGAAAAAGTCGATGGAATTATTTTATCAATATTTAATCAATGAATCAATATTTACACTATCTCACTGCGCAAATGCATCATAATTTTTTGTATTCCTTATACTTTATTCTAAAAATTTATTTCCTACTATTATGTATGGAAAGAAAATTATAATTTCTATCCAAACTTTATTTCAATAAGCCTGATAAGCCATTAGCCAAAATATAATTTTTCTGTTCTGACAATTAGCAATGTAGTGTGCGATGATTTTTTCAAATTCTGAGTTATTCTGAGATCAAAATTTAGAATTTGTGCCGAATAATATATTCAAAGTGACAAAGGAATGCTATAATATATTTAAAGGAATGCTATAATAGATTGAGAAACGAAAATATCCGAAAGTAAGCAGCATATTGCTGTGTTAATATTAAGAATCGTTCCTTACATGGGTGTACCAATGTGAAAAACAAAAATAGATAAGAAATTTGAAAACCTAAGTGCTTTGCAGCAAATGGCATTTGAAATGAAGGCAAATCGATTTTAAAATTTAAATTTGTTAATGAATAGTTTTAACTGGCTTTCTTAAAAATATTTTTTGCAAAGAAAAATTTTAGAAATGAATTTAAAATCTGTTGTTAAATTGTTTTTTTTTTTATTCTATTTTTGGTTACAATCTCGATAAGACGGATTTTGTTAAATTTTGGACCACCTTTTTTTAATAGCTTTCTGATTTGCCTCTTCCGGTCATTGCTATGAGATGCCAGAATAGGAATAGAAATAGGTCCACTATAGGGCGTCTGTAGTTTGGAAATATTGAAACTAGAGATATCTAAATTATTTATGTTATAAAAAACATTTTCCATCTATGGTTTCTTGACTATTGCTATATTGATCCCTTTTATACTGGTAAAACTCCCTTATCGCATGTGTCTTTGTCTTCCTGAAGCTTATAAATCAATTAATTTTAAGATATCAAATTATATTTGGAAAACAAATTTAGTTTAAATTTAGTTTAAACTGATAATCCAGACTCAAACTGATAATAATTCTGTATCGAGTGATCTTTTTCAAATATCCAACCGATTTTTCATAAGTAAATCATGTGAAAAAAGGGTACTCTACAATGAATTCAAAAACAAGAAAACCGGATGACTTTTATTTGCATGAGTTTAAAAATAAAACTAAAGAGGATGTGATTTTTATCAAAATGAATGAAATTTATTTTTGAAAAAGAAATGGTAATATTAAATGAAGATAATTAGTTTATGGTCGATACTAATCATTTCTCGTAAGATTCTCTACAAATTGGGATGATTTTCATGACTTTCTTTAGCTTGGCATAGAAATATAAGTGGAATTCCAGCACCGCTCATAATTTTTATTTAACCTCACCAAAAATGAGAGACCGGCAATGATACTTGAAGTGATGATATGGTGATCTAAGTGACACATTACTCAGGGTTAAGAGATATTTTCCAAGCTAATCAGGTGATATAAATATTTTTTTTTTCATGACAAATATTATTATTTTTCATTATTCATCGCTTGATCATTTTTATCAATTTTAATTACAGGAGAGTGTATGATGCAATTGCTTCAGCAATTACATGTGAAAATTTGCTTAGTTGTCCAACTATTATTTTAATTTATTATGATGATTCGATTTTATAAATAATCATTTCTATAGTAATTTTTACAATTTCTATTGAAAAATTTTACATAAAAAATTCAGTCAAATTAAATAATGTGCATCGGCCACCACTGATTAAATTTTGTTGTTGAGTAATATTCGTTTCGGAAAGGTTTTTAGATTTCTTCATCGTTTTTTTCCAAAGAGTTTTGATTATGAAAAAACATATTTTGATAAAATAATCTGGAACAATAACATACTTAATCATATTCCATGTAATGATCAATTTGTTCTTTAATCCCGCTTGTTTGCTTTAAATAGGGTCAGCTGAATCCTCTATTCGTTTATATCTTATTATTGTAGATTTTTGTTAGCGTTCAGTGAAATGATCTGCCTATCAACTATTATGATAACACCGGCTCTTTATCATATTTTGCAATCATTTTTGACTCATCGCCGATGCCAATTCTCGTCTTAAACCCAAGCTATACTGAATTAACTTTCAATGCAGTCAAATCACTTAAAGGTTATTTCGACATATTTGTTCTGGCTTTTTTTGTGTAAAATTAATCGTTTCGATTATAGAGTGTTTTAATCAAATATTAGTTCGATTGGTTAATTTTTTTTTTCTTTATGGTTTATCGACATTTCAATCAAGAACCTTCGACAAGATTTTTTAAAACCTTTTGAATCAATCTATTTATCTATTTGATGAATCTATTTTATATTATCCAATAAATTGAGGTCAAATTTATTGAGCTATATTATTGGCCGTGGAATATTTAAACATTTAACGTAAAAATTATTGAAAATTTTAAATAAATTTTATTGTTTGTTCTTATTTATTCCCATTTCCAGTTCTATTTATTCGATTATTTTCTTAAAAACTATTGAAGTACAAAGTTAATATTGTTTTTATTGTTTGTTCTTATTTATTCCCATTTCCAGTTCTATTTATTCGATTATTTTCTTAAAAACTATTGAAGTACAAAGTTAATATTGTTTTTTATGCAAGTCGCGTTTTTTTGCGAAAAATGATTGTACAATAATTTTACTGATTTATTTTAGAATGGCTGTTGAAGACTATTTTGATGATTTGCCATACTTTGATATTGAATTTCCACTCTTAAACGATGAAAAAATTAAGGATAGAACTCGTTTAATTCTAAGCAAACTTCGACCCGATTGGCAAAATAATATTACTTTTACAGTTAGCTTTTTGACTAAATGTTACTTTTATAAAATCGACTAAATAAAAGAACTAAATCAACTAAATAAACTAAGTTAAATACGTTAGATCAAGGACCGAACAAAAATTACATTACGGAATTCCAAGAATACTATTTCTGAATTAATTTCATTCTTCTTTTTTTTAGTTTTCTTTTTTTCCCTTTTGCAAACAGTTGTTGGTTTATTATTGACTTGAACAAATTTTATTGGAGATATTCTCATCGGGCATTACGAATAAAGTAATATGCGCTAATGGACCTTTCTCAAAGGAAAAAAATTGCCAAGAACGAGTTATTTTACGAATTTTTGGTAAAAATACCGAGAAAATCATTGATAGGTATGCTTTAATTAATCAAAATTTTAATTTATCCTAATTTTAAACCGATAAATTATTTTAGCGTGAACAGCGATGAGGGAACTAAAAAATTTTGAATTTAATTCCTTCCTTCTTGAATTTCTTACAAATCACCAAATTGCTCGAAAGGATTGCCAGTCAATTTTTTTACATAACTTTTTTTACTTAATTAATAGAATTCTTTTTAAATTACCATTTATTTTATACGTTGCTCGCCATTTCTGATTGCTTCCACTGGCTACTGAAATAAGATTGCTTTCGGCAAAGAGTCACTTGAGAATAGAAGTTATTGATAGATTTGCAAAGTAGATGCGAAATATTAACATTAATGGACTTTCTTTTTTTCGCTTAAGTAGTAATGTAAAATAATTTTTATTTTATTCGATTTTTAATTTCTTTTAAACTGATCGATTTTACTACATATATCACATATTTTAAGACATTTTTTAAATTATATTTATTTCTTATGACTTTCATTGCTTCAATTATTCACTCTTTATGTGTGTTATGCCAAGTAAGCCCACTGCGATTGGCTTTGAGCGAATATTAAAAATTAAAAATATATAATTTCGCGCGGTCTTTTCCAAAATGCGAGAATACACTATAATTTAAGGTTTATTTAAATAGTTTAATGTATTGTAAATTTCTAATTTCCATTAGCAGTTTTTTTTTTAAAAAGCGGTCATCTGATTGCGGTTCGCTGCACTGGCTTGTCGGACCAAATAAATCTTGTCAGATAATTTGGCCATAAATGTATGGCGTGGGCCGGATCAGCCGGATTCTTCAGAAACATATTTACTCCTGCAAGGAATAGGATCCTAGAACCAGCGATCCGAAACGACAATGGCCTACTGGGCCCTTTTACCATCCCACTTGAATAGTTTTTCCAACTTTTTCAACTATATGATTTTTAATAGGGTATTGGTGTAAAATATTATTTACAAATTTTCGATTTATGTATATTGCATTATTATTTAATGATAGTGATAATTAGGGCACAAGAAATAAACAGTTGGACAACTCTGTCGAAAAATGGCTGTGCTGCTCCACTTTACGGAAGATTTTCAAACGGAGTGATTTGCGGATTTTTAGAAGGTCAACCTTTAAATATCAGCACTATACGTGATCCACATATTGCCAAGTAATAATAATATTTTACAATATTAAACGAAAAATTACTAAATTTTTATTGAAATTTTCAATTTAAAAAGAAGCAATTTTGAGGCGAATTGGCGAATCTTTGGCGAGAATACACAAAATAAAATTTAGTGGATACGATTCGTGTAAAAAGCCGTGTTTGTTTAAAAAAATGAAAAATTTTATAAGCAATATTCCTTCATTAGAAGTGGTAGAAAAGTTTTAAATTGAATTTCTCGTTGATTTTCCATTTTTAAATCATTTATCAAAATAATATAAACATAACCGACGACGAATACGAATTTTTCAAAAGAATTCATTTTATCTTTTACCCAAATTAGCCAGAATAAACTGCATTATTCGTTCACTGAGTTTTGCTTATGCCGATTCGATAATAGAAACTATTCTCCACCTTCTTCATAAAGCAAATATGATTCGGGGAACGATCAGTGAAATGCTAAGGGATAGCAATGGCGTGCCGATTAAAAGCATTAAGGACGGCCTCATAAGATGGAAAGAATTTCTTGAGGTTGCTTGAGGCCAAATTTCACAGTCCTCACCATTACTGGTTAAACTCGCTCCATTGGCTTATCGCATTCGGCAATATATCACGGAGTCCCTTGGCGATAGAAATAATAAAGTACCACCTGTTGTCCGTAACTTGTTCGCCAAACTATACTCTTGCAGTTGCGAGAAGAAGAAATAATCTCTTTATCCATAAGCTTAAGGCTAATAAGGCTGCGGGAGAAGATAGTCTTCGGGCTGAACTCTTCAAATCTTTCCTTCATAAAGCACGTTCAACAAATGTATTCTCTGGTATGGGAAAAAGAAATATTATCAGATGATTGGAGCAAGGCAGTTCTGCTTCCAATTCTGAAGGAAGGTAATGGACACACTGCTACAATTATCGAGCCTACTAGGTATCTAGCGAAAATTTTTGCTTTCCTCTTACTCAAGAAGCTTATAGAAGTATGAGAAAGACGCGCCAAGCTGGATTCAGACCTGAGCGCTGACCAGATATTCACATTAAGAAGGATGTTGGAACATCGCTTCAGATATTTGCAACCCACTATTTTTCATCGGCTTTGCGGCTGCTTTTGATTCAATTGATAGAAAAGTGCTTTGGAGGGTGATGGAATGCGACGGTGTTCTAGAGAAGACCATTCGACTCATAAAGGCATTTTATGAGTATACGTCGGCGCAGGCCTGTGTATATGGGGAACATACTCCTTCGAAATAAGAAATGGTGTCCGTCAAGGTTGCGTCCTTTCCCCTACAATACTTAACTATGCGATAGATTAGGTAATGGACACCGCTTGTCGGCACTCAAGAGGTGTCCAAATCAGTCCAGAGCATCGTATCACAAATATCACAGAGTACCTCAGATCTTGAATATGCTGTGATGTAGTTATTTTTGCTGATAATTCTGAAATGCAAATAATACTAAATAACGTATCAGCAACTGCAGCGAGAATCGTACTCAGAGTGTAAATAAAACGAAAGCCTTTTTGTCTTATGTGCTGGAATATGATAAAATGCCTCTTTTTTAAATTCATTGCTGGTTGAAGAAGTGCCAGATTTTAAGTATCTTGGGTCCAATCTAATACCAAATGGCCAGGCAAAAGCCGATATTACAACCCGGATCACGGCAGTTAGAAATGCGTTTTTCCGGTTGACAAAACCTTTATGGAGCCGGCGTGAAATTACTGTAAAAACGAACGTCTGCATCTACATAGTCATGATTCGTTCGCTCTTGCTAAATGGCCCTGAGACAAGATCAATGAGAGTGGAGAATATTAAGAAGCTATTTACCTTTGACCACTCTGCCTATATTTTACGGGATAAAATATCATAGAATCGTACCCCTCTTTCAAACACCATCTGTATTAATAATGTTATCACAGAACGTCACCTTCGCTGATTAGGCCACGTTCTCTGTCGTCCACCACAGGAGATGACTGATAACTGACACATATTTCGTCACTTACTAAAGCATGTGATGGGTGGAGTCAAAAGTGATGTGGGCCAATTAAGACCTGGACTGATATGATCAAAAAAGGTTTTGAACGTATAAGTGGATCATTAATATATGGACTTAGACGATGGAAAAAGGAATGGCTTCTATCACTTTCGCGTCAGACCGCGCAGCTTGGAAGCGTCTTACTCTTGTAGCCGTAGTAGCCAGCCTAAATAGTAATGGTGAGAGCTGTTTGAAGAAGCTTACGTCGATTGATAAATTGTGATCCAAAATTTCATAAAATTGTTTATTAATGTAACCTAAAAAGCTTAAGTTAAAGAGGCGAATTTTCTTTTTTCTTATATTTCCACAAAATTGCAGTAAAATATCAAATTATTTGCCAGGATGTCGAGAATCAGCAGCGTATTACTCGTTTCCTTATAGCAAATGTCATCTCCTTCGAAAAAGACGTTAATCTTTTAAAGAAATTTATACGAAAACTCGACGTTCCAATAGTATTTTGTCATAACGATTTGCTTGCATACAACATTCTTTATGATATTAATCAAGGTTAACAGATTTTCAACAATTTTAACAATACAATTTAAATCAGATAATTCAATAGTGTATAGAACAATATATAGAAAGAAAGTTCAAATTTGAAATAAATAATATTTTTCCTCATTCTTTATGGTTCTTCATTTTCTAATCTTCTCTTCATTCATCCAAAGTTTGGCTGACTGCACTTAATACTAAAAAGTACCAAAAGGTTTCAGGATCGTCAGGAATCGAGTTCATGGTGCCTGTCCTTAGTTGAAACACCTTTAATGCTAAATGCTTAAATCATGAATAGTTAAACATTATTTATTATTCAGATCGAGCGAATTTCATTGATTATGAATATGCAGATTATAATTATCAGTTATTTGATATCGCCAACCACTTTTGCGAATATGCAGGTTTGAATCTATTAAGTTTTTTTATTTCAACATTTTTTTCTTATCCGCTAGAATCCAGTCTTTTCTCATTTTTTTTTTAACCATAAACCACCTATTTATCTATAAGTTGCCTTGCGAGTTACCCGCTTAGTCTGCCATCCTATCATTTAACGAACAATTCTTTATCGCTATTAATTTGTGGTTAATTCATATGAAAATGCAAGAATGTATTGCTAAATTTCTTCAGAACTTATATTTTAAAGGAGTTGAAAATATGGATTATTCACTATGCCCAAGTAAAGAACAAAAACGTACTTGGATTAAGAATTACTTAAGAAGTTATTTGGAACGAGAGCCTTGCGATGATGAAATTATACAATTGCTTGATGGTATCGATATTTTTGAAGCTGTATGATTTGTTTTTTGATAACATTCGAACTAACAAGTTTCATAGGTTCGAACTTTGTCAATGAATGTGAAATCTAGGTGACACTGGATGCTCATTTGTACTTCTGCAGCCAGTGACCAGCTGGTGCAGCTAGCTAAAGCTGGAGCTATTGGAAGATAAAGAAGGATGTACTTTTCTGGACACTAGTTCACTTGTTCGAAATGTCATGTTTTATTCAAAAGAAATTTCAAGATAACTCCAGATTTCTCTGAAAATTCTGCAAGAACTTAGATTTTTTATTTTATTACATTATTTATTCTATTTTATTACTCAATATAATATTCATATTCTATAGGCAGCTCATCTTTTCTGGTCTCTGTGGGGATTTGTCCAATCACAATGGTCATTAATCGACTTCGACTATTTGGAGTAAGATTTTTTCCTATAAATTTTGTTCATTCGCTAATATTTGTTAAAAATCTGAATATCCACAATGTTCTTTTTGAATGAATTTGAATAAATTTTAATATTACTAATTGTTAAAAATCCTTTAATAAATGTAATTTATAGATATGCATCAATTCGATATAAAATGTTTCGCAAAATAATGGACAAAATAAATAAATTATGAAATAAGTTCGTGCGCTTTATTTAAATTTCGAAAAAAAATGAGAAAAAATTTGAAATGTAAATAAGTTTTTTTGAGAATTTATGAAATATGAAATTTTTCAAATAATTGTCAACAATAAAAATTATTTTTCTATGAATTTTATTAATATTATCACTAAAAATTATTTAAAAATAAAACTTGATGAAAGAAAAAATTCATTTACTTTATCAAGTTTGCTACAATTTTTGCATGGTGGTTTCAATTAAAGAGAGGAATACTATAGCCGAATAAATAGTGGCATAATAGATAGTAGATTGTAGTAGATTATAGAAGACAGGAATAAAATTCTCATTAAGGAATCTGAGTAATGCTGCCAATCCACTAATATTTCTATCGTCAGCTGAATCGTTGACAAAAATTTCCAACCGTGTCAGCAGCCAAAAAGCCAACTTAATCGAAAATGGGGAGCGCTGCTTTTAATCGAACAAAAGTATATTTAAATATATTAATGTATCTCCTGCTATATAATTTTTATCATCATCATATGAAATTGAGCAATCAGAATATTTTAGGAAATGAAATGAAAATTATTATTTATTGTTAAAAATAAATATTAAACGTGATGCTAATTTTTTGCAAACGTCTGATCCATCGTGCATCAAATTTTGAAGCATTTTTTGGAATTTATTATCTTTTACAAGTGACACAATATTTTTTAATATGAAAATTTCTGCAGCACAGTTCAACTGATCTATCTTCAATTCCTGTAAAAAAGCGAAAACTATGAAGAACGAAAAAAATTGACTGAATTGCCGATCTTTTTTTAAAATTAAAAAAATCATTCAGACGGAAATTTTAGAAATTTAAAATACAATCTTAAAATTCTTCATTCTTACTTCTCGTACTTTTTGTTACCGATTATACAATGTGGATATTTCGTTTAAAAAGATTGATTTTTTAATTTATTATGGAAATTTAACCATTGAAAAATCGGTAAAAACTGAGATTGGTTTACTTGTTTGCTTTCTCTTATTTAGGCAAATAAGCTAGTAACTGCGCTAATAGAAAAACCGACAAACTAAGCGATGTGAAAGTAAAATTAAAAAATTAGAAAACTGAACCATAGAAAAACTGTAGATATCTAAAATAGAATTGAGATCAATTTTCGATATAATCACTCGAACACTTTCATCGATGAGTGCAAATAAATCGTAGCGATGCGATGCCTTAATTAAATCCATTTGTTGTTTAAGCTGTTGATTACGAAGATTTATGGTATAAACACCACAGTATAGGAATTCCAATATCAGCTAAAACGAAGCAAAATGAAGCTTTCACGGCGATATGTAATTTTTCCATATTTAAAATTTATGAAAAATTTATTGAAAAGCGGAAGAGTTTTTAATAAATTGGCGCATTCTGAAAGATGATTTTCATCGCTTTTTTCATTCTTTATGCAAATAAACAAGTTGTAACCATTGAATGAAAAGAAAATGAATTCTGCTAACCATAAAGGTATTATATGAGATATCCTCTATGACAAATTCAGTTTTCGGGTGACTCAAAAGGTCTTTAAAGAAATTTGAAGCATTAATTAATACGATGCGATGAGCGAAAACTGTTTGATTTCCCACCTGAATATTAAATTTTCAATTTCATTTATTTTTTTCCTAAAATTTTCCTTAAACTACACCATATTATCAAAACTTCGCATGATAGTAAAATTAATTACCTTGAAATGAATATCGGCAAAATCAGGATTATTTACATATTTTAAATCAATAATCGAACGTTTTGTGGGGCTTTCCGTTCGATGACATATTTTAGAATTTGTAAAATGTTCATTTGGTTCCAAATAATTGAACAAATCAAAAATTTTAGAACCTAAGAAAACAATATCTATGTCATATATGATACATGAGGTTCGTAACGTCTCCATTAACTGAAAACTCTTCTTCTTATTGATTTCATTTTAAGTTTATTTTCAACTTTTAAAAGTTCAATTTTTATATGTTTTGATATTTGCTTAGTTATAAATAGATTTCAAGCAAATTCTTCTTCTAATATCGCTCATCATTTATGCCTTTGTCGATCGCACTTGATTAAACTCCATTTAGCTTGGATCCCACTTTTAATGACAGGTTTAAACATTTCCCGTCAAAAAACAGGAATCGAACCTATTATAGCTTGACCGAAGTCAAATAAACATGGCATTTGAATAACAAGCTTTCAAATTTCTTTAAATAGCGAAGAGGAAAAAAAGAATTATGGAGACGTGAAATCCTGGATTTGTGAAAATATGATAAGAGCAATTTACCGTATTAACAGTGTATTCAATGGTTTCATACGACAATTCTTCGCAAAGGCGACGGTCGAAATCGATCAAAATAGTATTTATAATATTGTAAGCCTGTTGTTCATTAGCTCTTTGAAGACAATTTGTCCACGTATAAATATTCCAAGGTACTCCTGAAAGGCTTTTGAAATTTAATGTTATGTTTAAATTACGATAGCTATTCATAGGTAAGCAATTTTCACCTATACTTCTGAGGTCCATTGCTATATTGAGATGCCCAGTTTCAGTTGCATAATACAATGATTCATGCAATGATTTTTGCTGTTCTTTATTCAAAGCTTCGAAAAAATTTGATACTCTTCTGTAAGAAAATTTATATTAATTTTCCTTAATGCGGATAAAACTGAATTGATGTGAAATTTTGTTAAGCATGAAGATGCACTTGTTAGCAAATAATTTATTAGCAATTCTATAAAAAATGGCTAATAATTGTCGACTGCGGTAATCATAGGTTTTCAAAGTCACTTTAAATTTTCCATGGTGATGGTTTTCAGCCTTTTGCTTTTAGGATTCTTAGGATTTACATTTTTAAAAGACCTCTTTTATCTTTTAAAAACTTTTTAAAGACAAACTTTTGAGTTATTTCTATCAATACATCAATATTATTGATGCTAGAAAATAAAAAATTTAATGAAAAATTTTTTAAAAATATATTTATATTTGCTAAAGTTTTTAAAATTAGCATATTGTAATGGGAATGATCCTGCCATCCGAAAGGACCTCAAATCCCCTAAAGGACTAGCGCATTCCAGCTAAGAAACCTCAAGAGTCAAAAGCCTTGACTAACTGATGCCTATAAGACTAAAGCTTTGATCTAATATATTCTTGAATAAATTTGTAACATAAAAATAAGAAAGAAAAATAATGACAATAATAACAATTCAAGAGAAAAATTTAGAAAAAAAAGCCAGAAAATTTTGCGAAAATTTATTTGCAAAAAATATTTGCTATAGTGAGTTCCCATAATCAATCTTATAACCTGAAAGTGGATATAGGGGAAAACTGGAATATTTTACTTTTTGGTAGCATTAAATCGATTTTTGCTACATTTCGTTCCATCTTCGTTCAAAAAATCTGTTAAACTGATACATTCCTCAGTTCGACGAAAACAAGCTGCTAAAAATAAAAACTAATTTTTTGCAAAATTTATTTTTAATTTAGCCGATTTTATTTTAGTTAATTTTGAATTTCATGTTTTGCATTTTAATGATTAATATGACTACTATTAATATAATTAAAGCCATATAATGACCAAGTGGTGTTTTTCGATCATAGGATTCAGATTTGATTTGCCGAGTTGCCGAATAAACTTTCTATCAGGAGCGAAATGATGATGCTGGAAACTTACCTATACTTGTCTCTACTGAGAGATCTCAATAGAGCCACTGAAACCAAAGATGGTAACTGCTAATGGACAATGAAGAAAAATTAATTCTGGCATCGAATCAGCTTTATAAAAAATGGTTTCATTTCATTATCATGAAAATCTTTTCTCAGCACAAATGGTAAATAAATTTACTAGCCTTTCGACAACATTTTTCTTACTGCTTCTTGTTTTCCTTGAGCAGCAGCTATTGCTAGAGCAGATGGTGAACCCAAATTTCGGAAATTGCACTTCATCGAATCATAACTTATCGATGAACGAAATGGATCGGCTCCCAAATTCATCAAATTTACTACTAACTGTGGCTCGTTTATCATAGCAGCTAACTAAAATTTCACAATCCATTTTAGCTATTTTAACCATTAGCAATAATAAAGCCATAGTTTTTGCTTATCTTTCACTGAATTCAGTTATTCAAATACAGTGATTCAAAATTAAATTCTAAATTGGACCTGATGGAGGAATCAGTCACGTAAAATGAAATGGAACATAGGTACAACCAAATTGAAATTTATTATGATAAATTTAAATAATTCTGTATTCCATAGGATAATTTTTTTAGATTTTGGAATGTATCGAAGGGCAGATTTTGGCCGAAGCCAAAATCGATTTTATTAAGAGCAGAACAATTAAAAACAATCAAAACAAAATAATTAAAATGAAATTTTATAAAGATTTCCAAACGTGATTTTAAAATTCTATTTAATTTTACAAGAATTTCTCACATCTTTATACGCCTTAGGGTGAATATCTCATATTTTAAAAATTTACTTAGATGGCAAGTGTTACCAAGTATTTTTGAATTATTCTGATCAACATTGGATATCGAGTTACCTCCACCAATTGAGTGGAATATCCTCTTGCAATATCCTTTTAGTAATTTTTTCATTCATAAATGCCACTAATTCATGAAGTCAATAGTTTTTGTCATTCCTTCTACGATGATTAAATAAACAAAAACTCATGCCACTTTTTGCTTTTTTTTTTCTTTTTTTTAAAGGTATTTCCTACATTTTCAATGAGTCTTTATCGAGTTAGCAGTAACCAGCAAGCGAAACATTCTTGGCGTAAATTTTTGAATTATGGGAAAACCAACGAATTTTAAATCGGGTCTAAAGTGCGCCTTGCAAAATAAATTTCTTAGTTCCATGGCAGCCTTAAGAAATCTCTTAATGCGAAGTGAATGGATTAATCTCACCATCCATTGAGAACTGTTGCAGGTTACGCTTCAACAGCTGGAAGAACATATATGAAGTAAACAAATTTTTAGCGCTCATATAACACTTAATTTTTTCAAAATCCAATATTTATAAGATCTCTTGTGCATTTGAAATCATCTCGCTTTTTTCAACACAAAACAAAGCGAATATTGATCTTATCGAATGAAATCTTAGAAACCCGTAAAATGTTGAATTTCGCCAATGATGACGCTGACTGACTATAATTTGGGCACAGTGAAAAGTCTGAGTGATGGTCCCCTAGTGTTACTTGATATCTCTGTCCCCAAATGATCGCGTGTCAAAATTATTTAAGCTTACTATGATGTAGGTTGTATATCACAAACTTAATCAGAAATGATCAACACATTAACATCTATATAATGAAAATTCCCTAGGCATAATGTAGAATAATTGTAAATATTTTAAATATTTTAATCCTCCACATTTCTATGTTTTTTCTTGTTGAATTGGCTTGGCCGTACTTGTCAATCAACGATGAAATTTATATCTCTTTGCTAATTAAGGAAAATTGATGCAATACTCGTCTTGCATTTTTCTAAATCTTCGGTCATTGCTTGCAATTTTTGATCGAAACCAAAATTAAACCCAAAAATAGGAAATTGGAGCAGAAGAGATAATACAGTCCTAATTGAATTATGATAGCTTCATTCTTTCTAGAAATGCTAAAAATACTCCTATAATACAAAGATTATTTCAAGAGGACAACAATAAATATTTATTTTTTAGATATTCGTACTGTATAAAAACATCTTAAAAAACTTTTTAGAGATAACAATTATTTTAAAATACCTGTAAAGGTGTTTCTTTTACCATGCATGACTGTTCAACACTTCCTCCTGCTTCAACTAATTTCTCAATAATTTTGATGGCACGACGTGCAACAGCCCTGTAGATGCGAAAAGGTGTAAATTAGAATATTTCGTAAAAACAATTTTCTGCGGATATACAAGTTTCTATATAAATTACATGTATTCGAAGAATACAACATGGAATGCAATTTGTAATTTGCGAGTAACTTAGCCAATAAAAATTTTAAAAAACTGTTCAAAACATGGGAAAACCTTAAAAAGAAAACTAACAAAATTAGAGAATAAATGAGGCGCAATTATCATCTATCATAAAAATTTAATATTTCAAGAATGAATCATTTTCACCCGCGTTTAAAGTAATTTGGAAATATAATTTACCACGTAATAGGAGTCCAGCCAGCAAATTCATTCAATAAAACTGATGATTTGGATTGAGGTTCAAAAGGGACAGCGACGTTCGGATCAGCTCCAAGCTCAAGTAACGTATAAACGGCTTCACTATTCCCCATGATTACTGCTTCAGAAAGTGGTGATAATCCCTGAAATCTCTTTGGCGAAAACATCTTTTTTAATGGTTTTAAGCGGTAGTTTATTAACTAACATATTCGTTGACGATTTTATGTCTTGATGGACCAAGTAGCCCAAATGCATATCTAACCACTTCAGAATTATCACTTCGAAGTAGTTGAAAAGCAATTTTCTGTTTCAAATGTTTCTGGTCATGGATGTTATTAAGCCTATAAAATCCTTATTTAAAAAAAGAAAAATACGATTTGAGAAATGAGATAGAGATACAATTAATTTTAAAGCTTCAATTTCATTACATCCTAAAATCAAATAGTATTCTTATATATTAACTTATTTTTACTTTATCTTATCTGAATAAAATGACTCCAAAAAATAAACTGCCACTACTTTTGTAGCAGTTTTGTAGTTATAAGATAAGAACAACTTACAGTATATGGCTATCTTCAGTGTACGAAAATGTTCTTGGATGACAATCATGATTTGGAAGTAACACTCTTGCTGCTTGTCGAATGTCGTCATCATCAATTACAGAAGATGATCGATGAGAAGCAAATATATTGGCAACATGTATCCATTCCATTAAAGATGGGGTAGAAACCCTTTAAGAATTTATCATCAATAGGAAGTAAAATCCACTCAAATCTTTTGAATTTGTGAATTTAAATTTGTGTAAGGAAATTCTCCAAATAAATTAACAGTTGATAATATCAAATTAAAAAACCTCAAATTTTTTATAGACCTTGATTTGTGATCATTTTTAACACTGCATTTTGAATAATATTGTAAACACAATGAACCACCTCTTGATAATTTTATTTTTGTGGAGGATCTAAAAAAAGGCCAAAGAAAAAATAAAAGGAATCTGATTTAAACATTTTTAATACTGCATTCCTAAAACCTGTAGAATTAAATAATTTATAAGAAAATAAGATTTAGCAAAAAATTTATGGAATTTAAATGGAAAAAGAGCCTAAAAAGCTAAAAAAATGTTGTAAAAAAGCGGAAAGGGCTTATTTCATAATATTTTATTATACAATAATTATGAAATATTAATTAACGAAGATATGTCCATCAATATAATTTGTTAATTTTACTACAGCGTGCTTAATTAGTTTACTATAGAACTTGATCGTTATATTAAATCGCTTATTTAATGGAATTAAATGGTTTTCCATGTAAATAAAAATATAAAATATAAATGAAGATAAAATTTGAGAAATGAGAAGTATTAAATTAAATAAATAATATAAATGAAGATAAAATTTGAGAAATGAGAAGTATTAAATTAAATTAAATTAAATTAAACAAATGTTGAGGCATGGCTATATAATCGGGTGATTTATCTGTACTACTGTACCAAGTAGTACATCTGTACCAAGTGATTCTCTGGCGAAAATTTCCAATCATATATAGCCAGCAGAACTAGAATAACCAGAAATGATCAGCTAACCACTTTTTACACGCCAATTCATTCATGAAGCAATTCAACAAGTGATGAAGAAATTCAAATTTATATAGAGGCGAATGGTCGCTTTAAGTTAAATTAGCAAGAAATTTTAGAAATTCTATTAGATATTTAAACAGCTATAAGATCTCACTCATGTTTGTTGCATTCTATTCGCTTATCTGAATAATATCGAACCAACATTCGAAGTTCATATTCATCGTGAACAGAAGTTCTCATTAGCAAATCTATTCGATTTGGATTTTCACATGCTGTAATGGCAATTTTTGTTATTGCTCTGCAGGCTTACTTAGAAGAATTGTTCCACAGTTTAATTTTATAATTTTAAAATTACGAAAAATGCAGCAAAACCCAGCTAATTTGTACATTAAATGAATAATGGATTTTTCCTTGAACTCATATAAGACACAATTATTCAAATAAGTTTGGTACCTTCATTAAAATTATCCAGTGATAACGAAACGCATTTTGATAGGAGAATTGAATCGAATTCAAAATTATTTTGGTCTAAAAAAATTCTTTTACTCTTTAACCATCTGTATTCTGTTCCCAAGTAACTCTCTTGTGAAAGGCTTTACCCTAATAGCATACCAAACCAGAAATAGCGATCGCTGATATAGGGAAAAAGAAAAAAAAGAAAAGTTAGGAATACTTGGAAAAATTCAAGTTATAAAAGTGCTTATTGTTAGAATATGCTTATTGTATATATTATTAGAACCGCATAAAAAAAACCTTTGGCATAGATTAAAATTATTTCTTCAAAGAGGCATTCTATGGCGGCACAAAAAAAAACAACAGCCTGCAAAAAAATCACGGTCTATTTGGTTTAGTGGGGCGATAGCTCCCAAATCTAAAGGATATTTTAAAAAATAGTAATAATAACTAAATTATCGATATTTCAATTTTTCTATTATATATAAAAATATCCATCCAAACGCACAATTAATCTGATAGCGGTTCAATTCAGTCTGTAGTCTTTATACCTTGAATTTTCTTAATTGTGACTACGCATATCAAAATAGGAAAACTGTGGCTAACTTCGTCGCAAATGGCTTCACTGATACAATTTTCAGTCATCCAACGGTAAAATCGCCCCAAATTCAGATTAAGACCTGCTCGCCTACTCATACTCATTTTTAAAGCACCGGTTCCACTTAAAGCGTAGATGGATGTAGCTTGAATACCAGCTTTAATGCAGCTATTTGCCATTACCGCGCCTAGTACCACCTATACAAAAAAAATATATTTGATTAGAAATATGACTAGAAATGGCGAATTTGACTAGAATTGTTGGAAAATATTATTTTTTCGCTGGAAATTTATATTTAAATAATATTAATCTTCTCAAAATTTTTTTTGAAAAGCTATTAAAAAAAGTTGATAAGGGAAATTAATTTGTTACAATTGTTACAAATTTAAAGTAAAGTTACTTTTGTGGCTGTTTTAATATCTTGTGATCTACATTTTATTAATGAAGAAGTCAATCGTCTAATTTCATCCGCGATTTGCAATAGCAAAATAGCAGCATATTCAACGATCCTAAACAAAGATTCATGGTAAACACCTTATTCTTTTCTATGAAATTATCTTTTGACTGAGAATACTAAATTTTATATGCCGAGATTAGCTAGAATTGGCCGGAAAATAAGATTTTTTATAAGTTGAAAGTAGAAAGAACCTCGCGATCATAGCCGGAGGAACGTAAATATCTTTGCACCGACCTCGCGAAAGAATTTTTCGTAAATCATTGTCGTCGAATGGCGGGCGATTTCTGAAAAACATATTATTGAAAGAAGGATTTTTTGGAAAAGAGAAGCCTTGAATAGAAGGTAATTTCCCATTTTTTCCACACTCTACTGTTCTTCCCTGCGATATTATCATCTGAAACAGTTTTTGCGTAGGTATCAGCTTATAAAAGATTGAAATTTATGTGAAGTGAGCAACTTCGTTATCAGTAAATCCGCCATCATCACTGCAAAAATTGAAATGTGGTTCGAAGATTTATGGTAAGCAAAGTAGAATTATTACGAAATGATCATTTCAAAGAAAAAAGTTGCCCAATGAATATTTTGAAGCCATTTGCACAAAACGGATAACGGATATCTGTCAAAACTCTTTAAAGTAAGAGTGTGATTTACCTGTAATTTTGCGAAAAATCTTTAGATTTGCTTTTCGAAAAGCATGGCGCATTTTCCAGAGAAATGCAATCATAGCTAGAAATTTCTTCGGATATTGAGCTGTTTGCTCCATGTTTACTTAGATTCTGGTTCTTTGAATTATTTTCCCCATGCATGCTAATTACAGGACGCGTGGCAACTATCGATGATTCACCATTGATTAGCACAACGGTTGGTTCATGGGCCTTTGTATTAAGCGAGAAACCGGACGAATTTGCTGCAAGAGATGAGCTATACTGATAAATCAAATGAGGATTTTAAATCATAGGCTTCGTAGGCTTTTTTCTTTATTTTAAAGGAGATGGACTTATGTATATATAGCCCATGCAAGTTAAATTAGATATCTTTCGAATAAGTTATATAATTTCAGTAATATTGGAAAATTGCTAAATTAAACCTTCGAACTTCAATAAAATTAATATTTTGATAAAAATCAATAATTAACAAAATTTAATTCATTTTTTTGCAGAAATATATAAGTTTATAAAAAGTTTATAACAAAAAAGATAATCCTGTTCGCCCGTTTTGTTGTTTGATGTTCTTTTCATTGACAACTAGAATTTGTATTATTTTATTTTAAAATACCATATAATAACCATTGTCAATGCCATAAATATTGCTGAAACGTTTGCCAATAAAAGAATTATTTTCTTGAGTTGAACTTGAAGCTTTAGCTGGCGCTTGCAAATGCTGTGCGCGAGATGTCGATCGGTATCCACTATCAGTTGGCGATTCAGCAAAAATAAGAGAATTATGGTGGTGGACTACTAGCTTAGGCGAACACTTTTTGTCCATGCAGTGTTTAAAACCATTAATATCACTGTAATATTGAGATAAAGCGAAAGCGACTAAAATTTTTACATGATAAAATCTATTAAAATAAAAAGTTTTCTTACCGCTGGAAATCCTTGCAGTGGTCAGTCATCATGGCAATATTTGGAGTACTTTTATACAAATGATGGATTTCTCCTAGGCTATTTATTGATTCAGCTGAAAATTCTCGACTGAATCGCTTTTGCTGTAATAAAATATCGAGTTAACACAAAATTTGACTGAAAATCAACAGTTCGGTAGTTTGTTCGATAGTTTATAGGATATGACCTTTTCCTGTATGCAACTTATTGCTCTTATTGTGGTCTGCCTTTAATTTTTTTCGCGTATAGAAATTATGGTTTTTTGTAAAATTCCTCACCATTACTATTAAACTCGCTCCACCTGTCTTGTTGCACCAGGGAGTCCCTTGGCAGATAGAAATACAGGTGAGCAACCAGCATCACCTGGATTTTTGGACAGGTTTACTACTGCGGGGAACCAAACCTCAGCATTGGCATGGAAATTATGGCAATGAAAGGCAAATTTATAATACACAATAATAAGTCCCAAATAAGGAAGTATAAGGAAATAATGCAGTAATTGAACAATAGATAGCGAAATATATAGACGGAGGCCAAATGATATATTGCTTCAACTATAACTTCAGGCATGATGGGTTCGATCCTTTATTTTGAGTAAATTAAATCCCATTATGCTGAATGAAATGCTGTTCACCCACTTACAAGAAATTATCAAACAATCCAGAGAAAGTAAAAAGTGCAGTTGGACAAACCAGAAATGTTGAATGCCATTAGAAGAAACAAACTATTTATTTAGGCGTTTTAATAGTTGAATTTAATGGATAATCAATTCATTTTTAGAAAAATTAACCTGATTTGAGCGGAGAAAATTCTCATTAAATCGTTTGTTTTTCGAATTTGCAAAATAAATGACATCATCTGCTTCAACTGAGCTATTCTTCTTGAAATTATTACTGATGGATATAATCTAATATTGCTATAATTTTGCTTAATTGATAGCGACTTTCAGATTTCTCGGATTTATCTGTTATTTGTTTGAAGCCTTTGAGCCATTTTCAAATTTTCTTTGTGATTTTTTGGAAAAATATTGTTTTTTGTAGGAGTGAGTAAGATTGCAGTGACCACAATGATTATGATAAGAAACGATATATTTATATATAATGTATTAAATCTATAGAATTTTATATAGAATTATATAGAATTAAAATATAAAATATACTTTGACGACGCTACGACTTGATTTCATGCATATTATGAAATCAAAAAAGCGTTTAGTTTAAATTAAAGTTTAAAATTTTAAGTTGAAAAACGTTTATTAAAATCAGCTCTGCTTAATTACTTTATTTCGAAAGGGTGATCCTCCATTTTTTGTTAAGATCCCTGGCTTAAACATCCTTATTGCATGAGTTAATTTGTTCTGCAGTTTATTCGCATTATTATTCAAATCGTCACTTGTGACGGCATTTTTGAGAACCATAATACTTCATCTGTCACCTCAAATTTATTGAATAAAAAAATTAAATAAATGAGCTTTTGTTTTGCATAATTATTCGAATAAAAATTTATATAAAGAAAATATAGAGAAATTCGCAAAAAATAAAATATCTATCTTTAGCAACACCGAAGTCAAACAATTGATGTGGAGAAAGGAAACCTAAAAAAAGGAACTGTCAAATAAAAATAAAAAGAAAGAGAGGGAATCGGAGAATCGTCCTGCCGAATGATAATTATTGTGAATTAGGCATTCACAATAGGTAAATAAATTAGGTAAATAAATAATTTTATCCAAATTTTTTTCTACAATGCAAATTAAAATATGATTAACTTCAGCAACCAACAAAATGTCCTAAATTTAACTTAAAATCGTGCGATGACCTCCATTATTCCATAAATACATAAACACTTTAAAGTATAATACATTTGAAATAAAACTCTCTAAACAAATTTTATATTTGCTTAAAAGAGAGATAAATGAGGTAAGTCTTTGAAGATGAAAAATGCGTGGGAACGCAAGAGGCCAAATAAGTTTTTGTTACTCTTGTCGGTCGCATTTGCTTACGAAGTAGACGCTATAATGTGTAATGAAGATAATAATGGAGATTCTAAAAAGTTTTCTATTAGAACAAATTTAATTCAGAGGAAGAACTAATAAGCTACTCAACAAATAGAGTTATTATTGCACGTTGTTTTGAGCGATATAGAAGGTTCGTTAAAGACTCTTGTCGCGAAACGGCACGTGCAAAAATCTGCTGTGGATTCTGGAATCGGGCTACCTTATCAACAATTGTAAATTATCGAGGATCAATTAACTGAAAGGCCAATTAATGAAGAATTGAACAATAAGGCATTGTTCATCAGACTTAGAATGATTGGCTTATCGCAAATTGGACAGTAAATCAATAAAAGTAGTATTGAAACGAGTAAATATTTACTGCTGTTAGAAAAAGTAGAATTTATTGCTATTGCTTCAGTTAAGCTTACGGCACAAAATATAAGTATTTTATTACAAAAAATGTATCAACATTTCGAAAATTTCTAAATGCTGGAAAATATAGCATAGCCACTGGTTTTCTAGCATTTAGAAATTCTCGCATAAGATACTCTCGACAGGAGCAACTCATTAAAAAATCAAGTGATGCCGACTCATATAAACTTCTATCGCCAGATTCCTTTGCAAAAATTTTCAACCGCATTAACAGCAGCAGGTTCTTCTAACCAGAAATAATGTCTGCTAACCACTTATATTCAGATTTTGATTTTGTATCGCTATTGTAAGCAAATAAATTTCTTTCTTTTGTTTTCTTTTTTGCGCGCTTCAACTTTATTTTCTTTAGTATCTTTATATTGATGAGATTTGACATTTGAACTAATTTTCAAAAAAGATAGAAATAAACAAATGTAATAAATAAAAGGTGGTCGCGGAGGGTTCTGGTAATTGGACAAGATAATATTTATTTACCATAAATAAATTTATGTTAGACACTTAACAGGTCAAATTACTCGCACTGCAATTGTCCAATAATACGTTTTTATTATCGGTCATTAACTTCTATAATTGTTATACGTTCATTTTAACACAGTTTTATTTTAAACGAATATTTCTGCCATAATCTCGCTTAATTTTCGTTGAAACCAGATCATTATTTATATTTATATATTTATATATAAATAATAAATAACTTTATTTATATAAATAAAATTACCATGTTTTCCAAATTTCATATGAAATTTCAACAAAATTTTCGAGTAAATTTCAAGTGAAGAAAATAATTAGTCGAACACATATAAATATAAATTGCACTTCAGCTGAAATGTTATATCATGTGCTGCTTCAAAAATGGTAAAGATTGTTTGAATAGAAAAGGATAATAAAGTAAGGATAAAAAAAATCACTACTTAAAAAGGATAGAAAAACTGATTTAAAATAATGCATAAAATAGTTCATAAAAAGATCTGTTTGGCCTGCAAGAAAAATTGGAACGGCATAACTCATCCATAACTACTACATATACTTAATTAAAAAGCGTTGTGCAATGTATGGAACAACTAGATGAAAAGGCCTTGGAATTCCTTCGGAACCTTCATGAAAAATTTCGCTAATACATCTCAGCTGTTAAAAAGAATAATAAATATCAGTAAAAAAATTTTGCTTGTTGTAATGATAGGATTCATTAATATAGCTTATAGTATAGTATGAATTTCACTCTTCAAAAAAAATTTTTTCTGAAAAAAACTTTCTTATTTCGCAAAAAAATTTTTTGGAAAAAGGGTACCTAGATGGGTCAAATTCGTTCAATAAGCAATAAAAAATAAACAATTTTTAATGATTTTAATGGTTTTTTGATTCGATTATTATTATCACCATTTAATCTGCAATGAGTAAGGAAGAAAAAAATAAGTGATTAGCACTGACACTTTCTGGTCAGGCTAGCTCTATTGGCAATAAGTGAAGTTGGAATTTTTTCTTCGGGAATCATTTGGCGATAGTATAGGTCTTCGCCGGGATTTTTTAATGACAGGTTTACCTCTGTGGTAGCAATTGAATTTTTGTTTCACAGCACGATAAATTTTTCCTTCTCTTATTTTTTATGAACAAAATGGTTCTCTAAATGATACAATAAGCGAGTTATGCGATTGTATATTTTCAGCGAAAATTTGGTTTGTTTGGGTTAAACTATGATAAATCGTTTTCATTATCTGAACTGTAGAGAAAATTTGGATTTAAAAAAGAAGATTTAAAGAATCTTCTTTTAAGCACACATTAGTTCTGATTTGGCTTGCTTAGCTGGCTGTTAGGATGAGTTCGCTTCGCCAGAAAGCCATTGCAGATAGAAGTAGTATAGGCAGATATTCCATCATTTCACTTTTAATGTCTTTTGCCAAGAGATAGGTGTATAATGGCTTAACCTTAGCTGAAGTAACATACCATTCCGCTGACCATCCTCTCCTTGATTAAAAAATCCTTTTACTATAAAAAAGCAAAAAAAAAAGTTGAAAAGAGGTAAAGATGACTGATCCATTTCATATTTAGCATTTTAAATATATCTATTTATCTATCTATAAAAATCGAAATATAACGAATAAAAAATATTTCGGCGCTCAAATTTTTAGAATTGTAACAAAGAGCTATAGAACAAAGAAACTGCATTAAATTGCATGTTAGAAAAACCTCTAATTTTTGGAGAGTTTTTTGTCAATGTTGTTACGCTGATTTAGGGATTTAGTTTAAAAATGATATATTAAAAGAGTATAAAAATCATTGAAAAATTTTTCCTTTTCCAGGATTTGCCAGTACCACAATAGTTATCGGTAAACTCAATCATCAAACGCATCATTTAATGCAAATAGTATAAAGTATAATCAAAAACCGCTTTGCAGGTCGCTGGCAAAAAAAATAACTACAAAAATTTTGATCTCAGTAACTTAAGCGACCCAGATAATGCTGAGAAACCATTAGCTGTCTGGTGAATTCGATCCGCTACGAAATCTTGATTAAAGCTTTCTAAATTTTCATTGAATGAAGCATTAGGTTCATGAGAAAACTCGTCAGAATTGTCGATTTCGAGAATTTCATGTGCACATAAAGGCAAAAATGTTTGCAAAAACAGATTTTTATATTCTAGGGGAAGGCAATAGAAATAAATCAAATATCTGTGTATTAAAAAAAAGGTTTTTTTGATTCAAATTATTCGAAAAGAAGATGGATAAAAAATAAAATAAATAATAAATAATAATAACGGAATAAAAAATTGGCTGAAAAGATAAGTTTAGAATAAGTTTTCTGAAGGATTTCTTCTTTAGTTAAATTCATCGCGGAAAAACTTTTAACATTGCTAATTTCACCCAAATTGCTCTAAACATATTGGATAAAATTTCAGTGGGAAATCAAATTGCGATGGTAGGGTTATAACTGTAGTTAAAATCTGCATTTATAATTCCAAAGCATTTCCTAATTCCAGTAATATTCCATTTTTTGATTGGTAGGTATAATTAAATTTCATTTCTTCTCTTCCTATTTAAATTTTGCCGATTTGAATTTCTCCATCGAAATAAATTGTCTTTAAAACTGTGATATTACTTTTCTTGTAAAATATACGAATTTATCATAGATATAAAATATGGCAAGCAAGTGTCAATGTTCGCACTTCCAACAGGATGGCCACCTATCTAAATTTCCTTTCAAAAGTGACATTCTAATAAAAATTTGTCATACTATTTATCATACTAAAAGTATAACAGCCGACCAAGCTTAATTAATTAATAGTAGTAAAATCCAATAACCAATTACCTAAAACATAGGACAATGTTAAAGCGTAACATATATTGTAAATATTACCAATACATATATACACAAATTTTTTTTTATGAATAAAGTATCTAAAAATAGAAAAAATTGCATTTAAAATTAAAATTTTTGAATTACAATAAATTTTTAGAAAAAATTTATTGTAATTTAAATTAAGAAAGATTAAATTATGGAATGATAAAATGATTAAAATGATGAAATTATTATCTCATAACTATTGCAGTAACTAATGATTGATAAGCTGTTATAATAGCTCAACTAAAAAACAAAATTCCCAAAAAACAATAATTTCAATCAAATGAGAGTGAATGAAATTGTTAAATAGATGGGTAAATAGTCGTCAAGAACGTCGCAAACGTTGAACGTCGAGGTCAATGTCGTTGATTTTATGACTAAAGACATCATGACTAGCTTATGAAAAAGGATCACTGATAATGAATGCAAGTAAGTCGCTATGAGTGACCTTCAAAAACGGTGAATGCTGATTAAAAGCACAATTGAAAGAAATTAGTCGCTAGTGCAGCGAGGTGTATAATAATAATAGTGATGGACTGGCTCGAAGTCTCTAAGTCCAACGGAGTTTCGCTTTTAATGATAGGTTTACATCAGGTGGCAAAAATTAAATCTATGATGCTTAACCTTGGTCGAAGAATTTTTTTATTTTATAAAAGCCTTTGTTTAATTTTTATCTTTTTATTTAACAAAGATTTTAAGACAGAGAAAAAACCACTGAGATTCTAAAACCTTCGAATTATAGGCCCAAATGCATGTTTTAGGTTTTTAAAAATGAATTCTAAAAAATGTCCTAGTTTGAAGAAGAACTAAGTGGTTTTCTCTATGAGTAAAAACTAAACTAATGAAAAAAAATCCATAAATAAGGCTCTTTTTTCGATTTATTACTGGCAATAGCAATAATCTGCGCCGCAAAATTCCCCCCAAACCATAAATTCCTTAATGTGAATCCCTTTCTTCATTATTGTTGTGCAATGTAGTCAATCAGCGATCACTGCGAATTGAAAATTACTAAATAGTATTTTTTTTAAAACCACATTTTCACTAATTTTTTTCACTGCTGTCATTCACCAATTCTATTTAGGCAAGGGAAAAAATATGCAGTTTTCAATACGCTCTGAATACCATCGATTTAGCAGTTACAGGCAGATTTGGCAAAGATTTTCTGATAGATTTCGAGAGAGTAAGGTTTATAAAAAAGAATAAACTAGAATTTTATCGAAATATGGTAGGTCTATATCGAGTTGCATGATTTAAGAGTAGAAATTGTCGAATAATTTTCCTAGAGAAATCAAGAGGCTTGCCAATAACTCAGTTGCAATCAGCGGAGCCAACCTGACTGAGTATTAGTGGGGGCTGCTACAAGAAGAAACTGTCAAATCTTTTATTTGCCTATTGTTCTACTTCACTTAACTTATTGTTTAATAGACATCGCTATAAAACTACAAAGCACTAGAAAACCAAATTTTAATTCAAATTTTTCAAAAGATTTGACAATAATTATTAAAAATACGAAGTTAATCATTAGAAAAATGAAGAATGCTAAGGTCATGGGAAAAGGTAGCCGAATAATTAATGATTTTAAAGAAGAATCCATTCACCATCGATCTAACAATTTTAAATTTTTTTATGGAATAAAATCGAAAAAATTCTTGAAATTTAACTAAATTCTGAGTAATTCAGAAGATCAGCCATGGATCGATTCACTTATTTCGAAAAGTTTAGCTGTAATTGAAAATATCATTGAAAAATTTGAGTTGTGCTCTACGATTCATTTGCTAAGCCAGCTGAAATAAACACAAACAGTGAAAGATATCCACTTATTTAAAAATTTTCTCATTTTAGGAATAGTATTTTTAAATTTTTAAGGTTTAAGGAAAATTTAGGAAAATTTAGCAAATCACTAAAAAAAGCAGTCATTTTGTTAATTTCATTTGTTGAATAATTCTTTTTACAATCGAATTGCTTATTCTTAAATCGCTTGAGAATAAAAATGCAGGCGAGGCATATCAGCACCATCCGGATTTTTAATGACAGGTTTATTTATGGTTGAAGTGTAGCTCGTGAAGATTATTCAGCGACTAAGCGGCAATCACTTGGTTATGCTCCTTACAGTATTGGAATAAATTGCAAAATAATCAATGATAGCAAATCATTTGTTGTACTGAGCTGCACAAAAAAGTCGAATTTAAATTGATCGATGAGAAATTGGACATAAAAAATTGGATGGATTGAGGAATAATGGAATTACAGATGATAGATGATAGAGCATGATAGATGAAGCGATGAAGCAATAGATGATAGATGATAATAGATGAAGCGATCGAACTTAAAATTTTAATATTTTCAGGTTTTGTAAACTCAGAGAATTGAAGAAATATACTGATGATACTGATTGGGAAAACTTTGTAAATAACAAATATTACAAAAATGTGAAATGTCGGAGATGCAATATTCATTGAAATGTGGCACCTATATATATATATCAAAATAGTAAGTAATACTATAGTAGTATTACTGCAAAACTGAAATATCGTTTTTCCCAGATTCACTGATCTCGCTGGTTGAATTAACCTTTAATGAATTGTTAATTTAGTGGTGGAAAAAATTAAGGAGAAAACTAGGATCGTATTTCGATTCGCCGAGCTTCTTTCGATTCTCAAATATAAATCATAACGAATTCTCTAATCCTATTTGCTTCACCTCTATCTTCATGGAATTTGCAATAGTTTACATATAATTTTATCTTTCTTTCAATCAAATTATCGTTTAAACTTGCCATGGAGCAAATGACTGCAGAATGCCAGTGCCAATTAATCGTTTTTCATCCATATTTTCCTTTGCAACTAACAATTGTCTGAAATGAGATAAAGCTTAGCTTAATTGAACTGAACTAATTATGGTTCGAATAGCTAACGAAGTGGATATATTAAAGGGAATTCGAGGAAACTATGGCAGCTGTTCTAAGTCGCACAAACTAAATTTATCTAACTAAAACTCCAGTTTAACAATGATTTTGTTACTCGTCAAAAAGTCCGCTTTCTAGTCATTTATTTCTTTTCTCTCGTTCTCGTTTTCATTAAAATTTAATTTTTTCAAGGTAGTAAAATTTAAAAAGAAACATATTAGTAAAGCTTTCATAATCATAGTCATGAAATTTAATCTTTCAATTCCATTCCATAATTTTGAATAGGGAAGTAAGAGCTGAGCATTTCAGGTCGCTTCGTTAGCTGTTAAAGGAAGGTTAGAAATTTCTTGTAGATAGCGATAAAAGTATGCCATGTCGCCAGGAACAACCGGATTTTTGAATAAAAGCTTCACTGCTATCGGAGATGGGGAAATTATCTAAGCTGCTCGACGCGCATCGAAGCAGATCCATAATGCTCGACCATTCCTGTCCTATTCTTTTCGAAGAAACACTTACTTATTTGATCAAATTTTTAAAATTTTGGAAAATGTAAAATCTTTGTTTTTGGTTCAGTGAATAATAATTATTGGCTGCTAAAAAACATTTAGATTTTTGGTAACCATTTCGCTTTTTCGTCAGTTTGTTGCTTCCTTAGCACCAAGATTCCAGGCTATATGCTGACTTATAATTTATTATCATTATCATTCTACTTATCATTCTACTACCTTGTCTGTTCCTGGAGATGGTCGAGTGGCTCCTGAAGAATGGTTGCTTGGATTCGCAATGAGCATCATAGGTTCGATTTCCTGCCACCCACACGAGCAAATCCGTTATTAAAAAATCCAGGAGATGTCGGTGACCTACTCGTACTTCTATCGTGAAGTGTTTGCCTAGCAAAAATTTCTAACAATCAGCGAGCCTCGTCCGATTCGAAATGATAAGCGCTAAACATTTACTTGCTTAGGCATTTCTGGACAGGAATATTGATTAATTTTGAGCTGTTCAAAGGCAACCTTTCGTTTTCATTTTGTTATTTTCACCTTTATCCTACTTATCTTATTGTCGGGGGTGGTGTGGCCGAATCGTGTTTTTCGACTGAAACTTAGTCTTGGGCTAAGCCCTAATATATCGATAGGAGTGCTCGGAATGGTATCCTAGGCTCTGTGCTCCGATCCTCAATAAATAATAATTATTGACTGATAAAAAACATTTCGATTTTTGGTAAGCATTCGATTTTGCTTTTTCGCCAGTTTGTTGCCTCCTTAGCACCAAGAGTCCAGGCTATATGCTGGCTTATACTTTATTATCATTCTACTTATCCTATCCGTTCCTGGAGATGATCGAGACGAGCTCATTCTCTGGCAAAAGAGCTATTTCTTTTGTTAAATAAGTAAATAATTAAAATTTTAGTCAAATTATATTGCTTTTAGCGTAAAATCTTAAATTTTGTTTATTATTACGGTCCAAATACGGTCCGAAGAAGTGATATTGAGGATCCAGCTGTATTTCTCTCCCTCTCACTTACTTCTGGTTGCTGAAAAATCGATCAAACTGCTAGAAGAGGAAATAGAGGAGGACTTTACTAATTAAAAATAATAATTGGCATATTTTCAAAATGTGGATGGATACTCGAATTTTTTAAAGTTTTATCAATTTTTATCATTACTCTCAAAACTTTTTAAAAATTGGCCAAAAAATTCCGCAAAAATTCCTGTTTTTTTGTATGGCTTTCGCTCATCAGTTATCAGCAAGTGAGGTTTTCATAAAATAAACGATCAGTTGCGGCGATAAAACGGTCAATACCCAATAAAACGGTCTGATTGCCAATACCCAATAAAACGGTCTGATTGATGGGCTTCCAATAATTTCATTTATATTTATTCTCAACTATTTACAACTAAAATTTAACAACCAAAAACTTCTTTTCAAACTTTTGCAATTTCTTATTTTCTCTGAATCAAGTATATTTGCTTCGATCTTTTGTAGTTCAGTGGGAAATTTTTGCCAGAGAGCACAGAAATGCGATGCAAGTGAGTCATCGGAGCTACCCGATTTGTAATGATAAGCTTACAATTAACAGCATTCGAAACCGTGCTCAAGACAATGAACTGAATCCCTGCTCATCCGACCATCCTTCCTCTTGTAGAATGAGCTGAGACTGTTAAGAGCACTAAGATTAAATCTGATCTGTTTTAAATTCAGCAGCTGCTATATCATGAAATGGCTGATTTATTTATTAATCCATGTCATATTGTTGCCTAATGGAATTTATTTGCAGAGGAATTTAGTGTAGCGAAGAGCCACGCTCTTTGAAATCCTTGGCTTCAAAGGTTGCCTTTTCTGCAACTATAGTCAATGCCAATTTTTGGGAAATTTTTTGCCATCGCTGCGTTATTTTGCCTAACAACTTTGTTCATACAGGTAAATCTATGCAATTATGAAATGATTTCAAAATGAATTAGACAAATTATGTATTTGCTGAGATACCAGGCGAAATCTAATTGCTGGCAGAAAAGCACTCAGTGAAAATTATTGCTGAAAATTTCTGCAGGTGATTAACTGGATAAAAATAACTGAAAATAAAAATGTTTTGAAACGTATTGGCGAGAACGAACTTTTTCCAACAGATCGTCGTCACTTGAATGATAGAATTGATATTCAGTTAAAATACATTCCATATAAGGTAATTGTTTACTAAAAATTAAATTAAGCAACTGTCGTATACATTAATAAAGCAACATGAAACATTTCAGATTTGCGGTAATTTGCACTAATTTTCGAATATGTCTCATAAATTCATTGAATTTTTTCCAAAAAACATTGGAAATAATTTAAAGTTTCTTCCTCATGAATGTTCTATCCTTACGAACTAATAAAATGGTATAGTTTATTTGGCGTTAGTCAATCAAAAAATTAGAATTCCATCAAATTTTTGATTTTAAGCGCGATAAAGAGACATTTGCAAAATTGTAATATGAACAACACATAAATTTTAAGCTTCGAGGACAAACAGTGATTATATACGTTGCTGACGACATTGATGTACCACTTGGGTACCGAGAATTTCAGAAAAAAGGCTGTTTGGTACGAAACTGTTTCATAACTAAAGAAGGTGGGTTTACATTATATTTTATTTCATACCAAATTTATTCGAATATATTACAATATATTAAAATACTCGTATTCCAAACTTATACGATTAATTAATGTGATCAGTGTTTCGTATAAATCAAAGGTATTTTTTCCAATTATTATTACCAAAATGGATCGATAACCAAAATTTACCCAATGGTTTTCATAGCTAATAAGCAAATTGATGCGGATGTGGTCGTATTCAGTACGAATTCACAAATCTTTCTAAAATACAACCGATCAATTACTCAGTTATGGATATTACAACTTCTCGAAAGTCCACAACATACCGGGTCACTTCGATATCTCAATTCTTTGGTGCATTAATCATTTCGATAAGCATTCTTAATTTTGAATTAATTTATGCTTACAGTGGTGGTCGAATAGTTTCATTCAATTAATTTTATATGAAATATTACCACGAATCTAAATTTTAGATCAATTATACCGCAAGTTATCGTTGGGACAGCGACATTGTCACACCTTATGGCAAATGGGTAAACAAATCTCAAAATAATCAACAACCAATGAAATTTAATTTTTCCAAAGGTTTTTATTGCTAAAATCTTAAAATTGAATCAAATTTCTCATAAATAACCACATAAAGTCGATAAAAAATAAATTTCAAATCGCCTTTGTATTAATACATTGAAATAAAAAATCGCTTGCATTTTACAGAAATTATTCTTAATATTATAAATTTTATAAATTTTGAAAGTAAGAAATAGTTAGCATTCAATGACTAGATTTCTGGTTAGAATCATTCAGCTGGCTATTAATACCGTCAGGAAATTTTCCGCCGAGATTTTACTTGGCGTATAGTTGAGTCGCCAGAATTTTTAAATTACAAGTTGACTTTTATCGAGAGCAAGACCAGAGCCCTTGCATAACAATTTGAGCCACAGTCCACTCAGCTATCCTCAGCTATTGATAAAGAAAGAATGACGAAATTATCCTTATTTAAATACAAAAATATTAATTAAGCAGTAGTTTTTAATGTTTTTGCTTTCTAAATTATTATTAACAAATAATATATATAAATAACTTCAGGTAAAACGGGTAAAGTGGCGTGGTTTGTATCAAATTGCATAACGAATAATCATCGCATGAAATATGCATTACAATTAGGCAAATATATACAGGCAAATTCATTTTAAAAAAAATATGAGACAAAACTAAACGATGATCTGTTAATTAAGAAAATTTTATAATTTTATAATTTTATAAAATTTTTAATTTTATAAATATAGGTTGACATATTTGGTGAATGCGGAAATGGTCGAATTACAAAGGTAAAAGGATCATCGCTACTCAAAAATAAGTACAAATTTTATCTGGCTTTTGAAAATAGCAATTGTCGTCATTACGTTACGGAGAAATTATTTGATAAGGCTTTTTCGTGAGTTCTAGTTTTTTTTTGCCGAAATTTTAGAAATTTAAGTATTAATAAATTTGTTGGTTTATTTTCGATTGCCATATTTTAGATATTTTATGTGTCTTCTCTTACAATCAGTATTGTTACTGTTAGTTTTATCATTCCGCTAATTTCACTCGATCAGGCAGCTATGAGTAAGAGACATGAGTCACCAGCATAACTTGGATTTCTTCCTGCCGGGTTTAAAATCTCAGCGCTCAAATTGAGAAACAACCCACTGAGCTGATTCCCATTGTTTTTGCCATTCGCATGCATTGCTGCCAGAGGAAACGTCACAGGTAGATCGAATTCAAAGCCGAACCATTCTCGGTGAGTGGCATCTACTTGACCACTAAGCCACATTTATATCTAATGATTATTAAATTAGAGCCAAGACGACCTAAAAACGTGTTGCTCCGACTGAGTAACATTAAACATCATTTCCTATCCCTTCTACAAACCTCCTCCCATTAAAACTCGCGTGGTGCTGGGTATCCTGCGCTTCATATTATAACCCGTCTATCCACACTTCTACTGCAAGTGATCCTCTGGCGAAATACTCTTATCCTAAAAGCTTAGAAAAATAATCATTATAGTTCCTAAAAACAGAGTGTTAATATCAACAGGCCCAAAACATCGTAATCTAATCTCATACCCTTTTGTTCAAATTATTTTTCTTTTACATCCATCTAAGTCATTTTCTTAAATCTTTACCATTATTGGTTAAACTGGCTTCGCTCCGCTGGCTTGTCGCGCTGGACAAATATGCCAGATGTCCCTTGGCGATAGAAATACAGGAGAGTCGCATTCATCATCTGGTTTTTTAGGCAGATTTATTTCTGCGGGGGATAGCACCTCAGCATCAGCGTTCCAAACAGCCATTCTAAGAACCTAAAACCTAAACCAACGAATAAAATCAATTAACTTTATACTATTCTATGTATTTTAACAATTCATCAAGATATTTATAGCAATGATATTCTACCAGTAGTGATGGGAGCATCGAAAGAATTCTATCAGAAAGTAGCACCACCAAATTCTTTTATCCATGTCAACGATTTTACGGGACCTGAGGAGTTGGCAATGTACATATATTTCCAGTTACAAAAAATCTTTCAGATTTGACCAAAATGCATATAATAAATGGTTTCAACCACAGCAAAGATCTAAATTTGACAAAATGAATCCGATATATATTGTAGGTATTTGCATAAACTTGACCGCAATTATGCACTCTTCAATAATTACTTCTTTTGGAAGGGAAAAGGAAAATTTATCGATAGTCTCTTTTGGTGTCGACTGTGCTCTATGGTTCAAAATCCAACTCCTAAAATATATCAAAATATCGATGGCTGGTGGCATAAAACAGGCGACTGCACCAACTAATGTTATAAATATTTCCATATGAATCTTCATCAAGTATTTCATTTTTTCATATTTATATTTTGAGATTTCAAAGCATCCAGTATTATATACTTCCACTGCAAATAAAAAAAAAATTTACTATTGATGGCTTCAAACATCTACTTCAAATTATTATTTAATAAAAATAACTTGGTGAAAAAAAAGTACAAATTTTTTTGAAAATTTCTTAACTTATTATGATTTTATGATTATGCTAATATCACCAAATTTTAGAATAAATTTTTAATTTCATTTTTGAATAAAAAAAACTATATAAAATTTATACACAAAATTAGACAATAAAATCTCAGTAAAATTCATAATTGACAAGTAAAAGTAAACTTCCTATATTAAAAATATTGTGAAAACCTATAGTGAAAACCTTAAAGTTTCAAGAAAAAAGTGCACTATATTATTAAAAATTGCATATTCCAGTGGAAAAACTGCAAAACGATTAAAAACAGAAAAAATTTTAAAAAATTTAGTTAAATTTCTTTTTAAATAGAATTACAAGTATAAATTAAAAGTTCTAAAAAAGAACACGTCAAATCTCACAAAGATAAACCATATTATGATTAAGCATGATAAAAATATAGGATAAAAATGATAAAAGCTATAAAAAACAAATAAATTAAGAAAAAATGTAACGAAAAAATAAATTCATAAATTACAAAAAAAATAATGCATAGTAATTCTTTCAAATTCTTTCAGTCTGAACCAGGAAAATTCTCTTGAATTAACTGTGAACACTGCAAAGTAATGAAGCGTTAGAGGAAGAAATAATTACTTTTGGAATCTTAAGTATGAGTGATAGTAAACCATCGATTACAACCGAGGGTGAAGCTGAAACTAATGGTATCATTATTCTCTAGATTTATTGAAATATTATTCCGTAATACACTATATTATTAAAAATTGCATATTCCATCTCATAAGAATAATTAATGACCAATAGTACTATGTTTTATAGGCTAATAATCCACAAAATAAATGAAGGAATAATAGTTCGCTAAATATCTAAAAGAAAAAATTTAGGCAAGAATAAATTATTGAATCAAAGTAAATATTTGAAAAAATATGTCGACTAAAACAATACCTGATTGGAAAGAATTTGAGCTAACTGTCGCTCTTCATTTATTCCATCAATTTTCTTTACAACAGAGCCGCAATAAGGAAAAAATAACTGACGATGACATCCATAATTTGGAGTCGAAGTACAATAATTTTCTTTAGTGCAACTGTGGCTTAGATCTGCATTTGAATTTTCTACTTTCGATTGTTCTGAACTGAAAGGGAAAGTGGTGGCGCAGTTGCATTTGTCGACAGCGTTCATTTTTGATTCTTCTACAGTCCTAATAAATGATGCGAAGTTAGTTGATTTTTTATTTGATAAAAAACTTGCATCAAAGTAAAATAAAAATAAAAAACTTTGGCAAAGTAATTTTAAGATGGAATTTATATTAAATGATGATAATGCAAATGTTTATGAAAAATGAACCTTTCCATCTGAACTTGTTCGATAGCAGCTTTCAATTTAACTAAATTTTTTGTTGAAATCCTACGTAAACAAATATTGAGATCGTCTTGACCGAAATGTAAACTTAACTGCTGTAATGAAACATTTAAAAATAGGTAAATCATTTATTAAATCGAATTTTCATTAAAATCAAAGTTGCCAATAATTAATTACCTCACAACTTTCTCCATTATTCGATAAGGAAGCGCTTTTGAATGTAATATAATCGTCAAAACGAACCGTTTTACCCTTAAAAAAGCTTCAATAAAAATGCAAGATCTCCAAGACCCTGTGCGGTTTTCTCATCCAGACAAAAAAACACTGGTCAATTAACTAGATACTGTGGTTGTGGACAAGAACCGGAAATCACCACTGCTATAACAGGAATATGAGAATAGAGAAATATCAAAGGTTGAAAGAGTTGGAACAAAAGAAGATGTTTAAAGGCCAAAGGTATCCCAATAGTATTAAAGAAACTACTATGGACTCTGACCTCAAGTCTGGAAAAAATACTCCCAAAAGATTCCAGGAATAACATCAAAGATCAATAAAAAAAAAGAACCTATAGCCAGATGTAACTAAAATATTGCATAGAACCCTCAAGCTCATAGCGCACCGGTAGAGGATCCAAGGTTGAGGGTTACCCATATCACCTAGGTAAGAATTTTTTTGAAATGTAATTATATAATTTTGAAATATAAACAAATAGATCAAATTCCACCAAAAATTAGTGGGAATGTGTCTATCATAATGCTCATGTAATTTTGGTTCCTCAACAAATAAATGGATAATTTGATTAATAAACTAGCAGAAAAATCGAATTAAGTAATTCTATAACCCTATTTATATCCACCAATAACCGTTCTAAATTATGTTTAAATTATGTTATAAAAATCAGAAAATAATGGAGATAATGAAAGGCAACAAAGTGAAGTATTTTCATTCCAACTGAAAATATATTCATGAAAATTTTGAAAAATATAAATGATTTAATAAAATCATCAACTTACAGGTGTCCTCATTTCCAAAGTTGATCCAGCTAATTTTTTTACGCTTGAAGACAATTGGGATGTTCCTCTGCTTTGATTAAGTGTTAAATTCTCCTTTAATTCAGAAATATTTTGTTTGCGTTTATTACGCTCTTCCACAGCCGCGAGGAATGGATTGATTCCATTTGGAAATAAAGAGTCTCTTTTTCTCTGGAAGTGTTTTTTTACCAAAAAGTTAATTTGATAACAAATTTTAAAAATTTTAGTTAACAAATTTTCGAAATTTATCAAAAAATATACTGATTATTTTAATGCATTAAAATTTTTGTTTGTCAAAAAAGACTGAAATTACCAGAAAATAAGATAAATTTCGAAATAGTAATTTCAAATGACATAATGGAATATCCTAATTTATAAAGCAAATTTTCGAAGTGTGAAATAAGGTGAAAAAAGAAATGCGCAATCTAAGAAATAAGAAATCTAAGTAAAAACAATAACCAACGAAGAGGTTCCGAGGAAACGATTTTTTGGACAAATACCAAGAATTTCCATTTTAGAAATGTTATCCTTGACAAAAAATTGGGAATTCTTTGAAAGCAAAGTTTCTGTCGTTTTTTCTTCTATTTTCTTTAAATAGTTTAGAAATTTAAATAGTTAACTAAAGTTAATCAATTTACAAAAAAACTTATAATATTTCAGTATTATGAAAAGATAATCAAATCTAAAACAATCTAATAATCTTAAATCTTAATTATGAGATATTTGAAAATAAAAATGTTTCAAAAAAACTAGAAACAGTAAAAACTTTTTTCCACATAAAAAAAAACAAATTTAAGGACTCCACTTTTTCATCAGGAATTTTTTCTATCATTTCTATTTTTCTGTCTTCAAGAACAACTTGTTCAGAGCATTCCCTTACCTAAAATTTCATAAATAATATAAATAAATAAATAATGATAAATAAGATCTTTTTTCTTTCCTTTTTGTGCTTAGTTTTTAATTTTTAATTTTTAATAATGAGAATGTTTTCACCTTCACTCACTGACATATTTTATTTTTCTAGAAAATAATGAAAACACTCTAATAACTTAAAGATTTCTTACATATGCCACTGGATCTTTCAGCGCCATCTTCTTTTCTGTTCGTTGTCTAAGCGACCATGGTCCAATTGAGTGTTTATAATTGAGAGACCTGAGAATATAAAATCAGTTAAATTAATTCAACTGCATTTATCTAAAAATAAAACATACGCAAATCAAATATAATCAAATTTAAAACATACGCATATTCAATCATCCGTCTTCGTTTTTCTGCAGCAGTTAATATAATCTCATCATTTCTGTTTCTTCTAGTTGACATTTTTGATCTGTAATAAATTTGAACTTTTTGCAACCAGAAAATTTAAAAAAAATCATTTATACCACTGGATCTTTTATTACTCTGGATTTTTTTTATAACAAAAACCTTCTTAAATTAACACCACAATCAGAACAAAAAATGCAAAATAACAATATAAGCTGAGAACTAACTGATTACCTATTGTTTGAGACTGTGGGAAAATAAACAGAAAAGTTAAAAAATTGATTTAAAAAAACTGGTTAAACTCGCTCCACTGGCTTGTCGCAATTGGGCAACATGCCAGAATCTCTTGGCGATAGAAATACAGGTGAGTCACCAGCATCACCCGGACTTTTGGATAGGTTTACTCCTGCAGGGAACCGAACCTCAGCATCGCCACTCCCAATTGAGCAACAACCCCTAAGCCATTCTATCCCCTGTGGGAAAATGAACAGAGAAGTAAATAATGTAAATATAAACGAACACAAATAGACGCAAAAAATAATTGAAACTACGATAAATCGAAGAAATACTTTTTAGTTATTTCTTGTTTATTTATAATAATGCTTCTTCGTTTTTTTTCAATACTCGAAAAAGTTTTCTTCCTTATTGGATCTGCGTTAAGCACTCGAATTCGTGAAGACCTCCTTTCTCGTCTAAACAGAATAAAAATCTTTTTCATTAATCATTAAGCTTTTATATTTAAAGTATTTGTCAAACAAAGTATTTGTCAATAAAAATTATGCATTCATTAAATATGCTAAAAGCGTATCAAAAGAATTGCAAAGCTAAAAAAAATTTTATTGGAAATAAAATGTAATGAAACAAAATGAAAACGAAATAAAAATTTACGACTTTCGATTAATCTTCTTGGCTGCCATAAAACCTCAGTCTGAAATAATCATTAAAATTGAAATTTAAAAATTATTTGACTTTATAATCAATTCAGTTCAAGAAATATCGGAAAATTAATTAAAAAGTAAAAAAGACTTCTTTATAGAGTAGCAAAATTTTAAATTTTGACAATTTTTGACAAAATCTAACAAAAACAAGGATTATGAATGAATGAAAAACAAGGATTTAAAAAAGGAATAAACAGCACAATATAAAATAATAAAAACAGAAAATCATTCAGGGGTGATTTTCATAATGGCCCGGTGAATTGTCACTCTCACTTCGAGTTTGGCACGATGGCAACGCCGGCGGCGATTCGCGCCTACTTCTCCTGCCAAACGACTTTCCGCGCTTCGATTAGAGAAAAATTGAAAATCGTCTAAAATCGCTGGCAAAAAAAAAAAATCGCATAAGCAGAAAAATTTTTATGAATGAGAAAAACGAATAATTCACTTTAAATGATTAAAATAATTCTTATGATTAAAACCATTGCAAATAAATACCAAAATAAAAGTCCGCAGTCCAGTTTAAACAAACCGCTTGAAATAAGAACCAAAGCGTTGATCAATAAAATGCACCAAAAATGCACCAAACGTGAAAGTGAACTAAATAAACCGAACCAAGCAAAAATGAAAACAAATAATGAAATTAAGCAACCACACCTCAACGAAAATATTTTCCACACTTCCACACAAAGTTCGAAAATTTAGGCGCCAAATCGATTTCAAACTTTCAAATTTTCCGTTCAAGACCAAAGTTTTAAATATAATTGACTTAAGTTAATCGACTTATCACTCATTCACTTAGTGGAACTTAGCGAAATCTATCCGTTGATCACCAAAATTTCCATCAGATTGTAATTTTTCTTTGTTAATTACAACTGCTCCAACTGAATTTCGAAGCCTCTGGACCCGATGCCTTGAGGAAAAGAAAGAACTCGTGTTTTTCGCGGCATCCAAACCCATTTATCATAATCATTAGACCACTTATTTGCTTGTTCGCTTGCAATATTGTAGGATGTTTTAAGCTCGGCAGGTGTGCTGCTGAATTGATTGACAGAGTGGGAATTTTCCGGTTGGGAGTCATTTAGGAGCAGAGGTACAGGTGAATTGAATCAATAGGGGTCGTCGTAAACTGCATGGATTTCGCTTTTAATGGAAAATTCAGTCTTATCGGAGGATAGGGCCGAATTCATACTGCTTCGTCATTAGCAGAAGCGAAATGTTCCATTTGACTATATCCTTGCTTACTCACTGACAAAAATTGATGTGGAGAATCTAAAGCATGGATCGATGGACTACGGACCATTTTTTGCAATTTTTGCAATTGTTTGTTTCGAAAATATTTTTTAAAAAAAGGGCAGCCAATTCATGACCCACTTTATTTCGATGTTCATGAATAATTTTATTGGATAAAAATATACAAATATACAAATATGAGATGCTTAAAGCCTGTGGTTAGTTGCTTAATTGGTACTTTTGTGGAAATATATTTGAATTTGCCATTATCCTTGAACCAGAAGCGTCAATCAACTATGAAAGCTTCATTCGGTCTCATTACTTACCTAAGCATCGATAACTTCGTGATTTTTGAATATCGTGACTACCATAAGACAGTTCGATGGCTTAGCTGTGGTTTCGAGGCGATTTTGGAATTTTATTTTAGAAATGAAAATATTCTAATATTCTAAAATTCTTTTAAACAACTTGGTAATGCAGATTATTTAAGAATTCAGCCTAAATTGTAAGGCAGATCTTATATGCGAAACTTATATAGGAAGTTCATTTAATCAAGTAGTATCAAGGCCTGGCTTGGTCCGAGAGGCCAGTGAAGCGAAAAGAAAGAGAAAGCGTTTTTTTCCTTACTGCAAAGAACTCCAAAACGAAAGAAAATCTTCAATTCAGTACATATTTACAGTAAATTCATCTTCTGAACTACAGTTTCTGTAGCTTTTGAGATCTCGACGCATATGCGAAAAAATTTATTTTAAAATCCATTTAATTGAAAAGCAATTGAGAAATTTTTTCAGTCGGATCGTTTTATAATGCAGCAAATATATTGAAAGGCAAATATCAAGAGAAAACTTTAAGTGATGGATTTGCTCAATTAAAGTTAATTATATTCGTAAAATTATAAGTATTTGGAATTATTTATTTTGGTGAAAAGAAATTTTCAATCCCTAAATCCCTAAGTAGATCATTGGCTTGATGAATATTTGCATTTGCAATCAATTTTGGTGGCCTTCTTCTTTTTTGTTTCATAAGTACCAAGGTAATAACATCGATTTCACCTCTTGGATGCTTTTAAATGGCTAACACTTATCGAAAATTTAGCGCTTTAAAAAAAGCTTGCCGACTACTGATTTAAAGAATCTATAAATGAATGCAAATGAATAATGAATTTCAATATTTCATTGAAATCGAAAAATACAAAAGGTCACCAACGCTGCCGTGGTGGAACCCCGCTCCGAGATGGGAGCGAGAACCCACTGGTCCCTTTTGCTCTCTCCTCATTCAATCGCTATTTAATTTAATCGATCGACTTTTCTCCTCGCCTTTTTCGATTAATTACTTTAAATATTTTTTCTCAAATTCGATTAACCAATTAATCAGAAAGCTATCAAAAAATTTAACGAATAAATTTTTAAATATAAGTGAAAATCAAAAATATTACGGATAAAAGTTAATGTTTGATTAATAGGTGTACATTGAAAAAACATTGGAAAGAAGAAAAATACATGAAGGTAGTAAATTCACAAAAATGACTCAAGTTAGCTAACTAAATTAGCTAACATTTAATTCTATGTTAATTTGCTCATTCACAATGAGGACTGTAAGGCTGCAGCGTCCATTTGCGAATACTGCTGCGAATAGAATGTCGTTGGCGAAAGTTGCCGATATCGCCATGTGAAAATATGTACTGAAACGTAAATAAAACAAATTATATAAAAATTATAAATAATATTACTGAAAATGATTATTTAAATATTGTGTCAAAAAGGAGCTTTGACGCAGTTTTTCAGGAAATAACAGTTTCATTAAGGGAATCGGTTCCTAAGAAATTGTTAAGGAATCTATCGCTAACAATTAGGCTAAAAAGACTTGGCAGTGCTAGGAGGAAGTTTTGGAGAGGTTTTCAATAGAGTAGAGCCTTGGGGAATTCATAATGGCACGTAGTGACTTCGCACTTTGAGGCTGCAGTCGTTTTTTTCCGAACACAATATTTTATTATAAAAATTTTATTACAATTATTCTATTTCATTAAAAATGGAAATTTTATTTAGATTAAGTTTTCATAATTTTTATTGTTGAAATTCTAATAACCATAATTCTTTATTAAATCCTATTAAACTATTCTCAAGTTTCGGTTATATTTTTCAAATCACTAAATCGTTATCAGTTATCAAAATTTCTTCAATTTTTTCATGATAATTCATAAATTTCAGTGAAGTTCAATGAAGTTGAAAGTAAAGAAAAGTTCACAATGATCTATGTTGATTTTTTATTGAATTTCAAAAATCTGATTTCCATTAAAAAATGCGTCTTTCGTTAAATTTCTTTGCATCCTGCAAATCGTAATACTTTTCGGTTTATGAAAGATTTATAAAATTTAAAATAAAATTGCCTTATAGTTCATATGCAATATACTTTTATACTAATTAATATCATTATTTGCCGAACGATTTATCAAATTTTTTTCATAAAATATTTAGCAAAATCATTCATGAAATAATGGCATTTTTATTGCCATTTTAAACGCCTCCAAAATTGGAAAATACTGATAATTGCCAATAATTGAATTAGAAACATGGTGTGGTATTGATATTCATAAAATATTTTCCGAACGTTTTCAGTCGCTAGAAATGAAAAAAATATTGAATTGGAAAAATTCAAATCTGCAATAAAGTTGAAAAACGAAGCATTTTTAGGACCAAATAGATAATTAAATTTAAATGATATTTTAATAAATTACGTATATTTTGTGCAGAGATTGTGGAATTATGCTTTAACCAATCACCTGGATGTCTTCAGGCCGACTTGCAAGAAAAATTATCGCATGAAAACATAGAATTAATTTAAATAAAATCAACTTTAGATGAAACTTTTTGGTTTAAACAAAAATAAAAGTGATAATGTTGATAAATTAATAAATGGCATTATTAGTATATATGTAAATATATATATAAATATATATATATATATATATAAATACATATATATGTGAATTTATTAATAATATGTATATGTATATAAATTGTAATAAAATATTATTAAAAAATATTTAAGATTTTAAATAAGTTTAAATCTAAAAAACTGATAAATAGAAGAAACGAATGAACATACAAACAACAAATAAGTTAAATAAATCGTTAAAAAATGGATATTATGAAAATTTTTTTCCAACAATCTTTATCCGCAAATTGTACCGTAATTTGACGCAAAAATAGCGAAAAAAAATTAAAATTTCTCCGTTATTGGTGCTTTCGAATTTATTGATTTCGACGCTTTTTATTTAAAATCTAATTTTTAAGAATTTTAATATAATATTATTATATATATTCACATTTGAAGAAAATTGTTACGTAAATTGCTTGAATCAAATTCTTTTTCTCATTCGTCTACACTTTTAATGACAAATATGAATTAATTTAGATTTTTTCAAAACTAACTTCAATCAGCATTTCGAACGCCTTCCTAATACTATTTAAGAGCAGCCTAAACTCCCTTCCCGCAGAGCTCGGCTGGAGCCACGTAAACTATTCCAACCTTTATGTGCGAAGACCGCTTAATTTCGTCGAACCTTATACAAAGCGTTTATATTCCGGATTACACTTTCTTTCCTGAACTCCTCAGTATCATTTTTTTTCAATATTTAAGCCTTTTCTTTTAAAATTCGCCTTGAATCTTGGTAATTTCTCCTGAGGAATTTTATTTAGCCTGAGAAATAAAAATGCGTGTTTGAAACGTCACATTGTTAATACTGAAAAATGAAGTAAACATTCCCACTTATGTGTTGCAGCTTAGCATATAGCAAATAATAATTAAATTATTACGATGCAGCAATCATGAATATGGCCGCATTACGCAGTCACAAAATTTGTCATAAATGATATTATATTGTTATTACCATTAAATAATGATGTTTTCGATCGGCTGAAAATAATTTTTAAAAATTTACGATAGAAGCGGCTAAATAAAAAATAGCTGGTGAGAATCCACGAGAACTCGTTGATTTGTGGAAACAAGCAGAAATAGCTCGATTTGTTTGATTCTACCCAATTTTCTACTTATTGAAATAAGGAATATTGAAAAAATTTGTGGTGATTTTTTTATAATATCGCAATTTTAACCGAAATTTAATACTGAAAAATGAAATTTCGAAAAAATGAGGCTAAAAAATAGACTGAAAGAAAGAAAACTTTTCATTTTATTGAGTAATAAACAAATTTCATATTTTCATTTCTTTGCACTTTAAATTTCGAATTAAGAAATTCGAAAATCGTTCTTTATTTATATTTTTTGGTACAATATTACCTTTATTTGCTACATTCCATATTCTATTTTATATTGTATTTGTATATATATGGATATAATATATCCGCACCATATCGATTTTTTGTTCTCCCTTTGCACTGGTGCATGGATCCATAAAACAAACACTGCACGTATGAAATAACCGATTCCGCTAGAACCGGTGCATAAGATTTTATTAGGCTAATCTAACAGGTATAATCTAGTTCTCATCTTCTTCCCGAATCATTTTACTGATTTCTCTTGATTTACAGTTACTTAATGGATCAAGAAGAGCAATAATTTTCGACTATCACTTATTCGATAGCCAAAATTATATCATTCCGTTTCAATCACAGCATTCCAATTTTCGTAGCGATAGATCACTGTTATTGAATAACTTAATAGATCATTATTTTCTAATGAGCTCCTATTTAAGTTATGATTTGAAAAGAAGAAGCACATGATGATATGATATCAAAATTAATTGGAAGGACGATCTATAATAAATAATCATGTAAACGAATACAAATAATAATAATAATAAGAATCTCTAATTAAGCGCAAAAATGTTTTGGTAGGGAATGAATTTTACTTAATAATTATTTTCAATTTAATATATTATTAAATTTAACCAAATATTTGAAATCTTTTTGTTTCGAAATTTTAAAGAGAATTATATCCGTTCTGCCAGTTTTGCCAGTTTTTATAGTTCTTAATCTGACTTGAAGAGACTGCGCGATTTCCTGGTTCTTTTGCTTGAATAAGCATGAGCGTTCGCTTGATTTATTTCTGCAA